TGTACATACATATATATACACATACACTCACACGCACATACATACATACATACAAAAAAAAGTACATATCCTCGTAATCATGCACATGTACATATTTGTACATATACAACCCTTTTTATCTAAAATAGGTAAACAACAAAAAAAATCAACATAACTAAAAGATGCAATGAACTTATAGCAATATGTTTTTTTCTGTAATATGTCTTTTATTAAACAATATTTCATTGATTACATGGATGATCTTACATTTAATGTCAGCATATTTGTGACTGACAGATACAGTATCTCTATTATCGAGCATCCAAGCTATTCGTTCATTCATGACATATAAAGTACCATCTCCTTTTTTATAACGAACTTGTCCTACTTGCATCAAAACATCTTCTGATGATGTAGTCATGTTGGATAAACTGTATTAGACAATTCTTCTAAGAATAATAGGTACAACCCTAAAAAAATATATCACAAAGTAAATATCTAATATATTTGAAAAGAAACAAGTATATTTATGATTTTTCATAATATTATGAAAACAAACGTATATATAGTTATTTTAAATGAATGGATGTTCTGAAAAATCAGAAATATTGATACTTATGAAAAAATGTTTTCTCTGTGCAACATTGTAAATTTGTTTCCACAAGATTGTTGAAAATTATTTATCAAAATGATCATAATGGCATCAAAACTAACGAATATAAATGTTCGTAAATATTATAACAATTCAATAAACTATAAAAATATCCAGTATTTACAGTTACGGATAATAGAAGAAAGTAAAATTACGTACAAATATAGAATATTCCTGAAGAAAAACATCACAAATATTTGAAAAAATCACAACATTCGCTTAAAGATTAAATCTGTTTTTAATTATCAATGAAACGTCTTGTACGATTTCATAAAACATTTTTATAAATCTGTTTAATTAGACAATTTTAAACAAAATATAGTACTACTTAGAAATTACAGTTTGTCACTGTGCGTCCTTGAATATCAGATTACAACATAATAACTTTTAGACAAACTATTTTTTCAAAATACTTTTCTAATACAATCGTGTATCGGAATTAACGAAATTCGGTAAGCGGCAAAATTTCTAGAAATGTAAATGAAATCTGAAGTCTACGTTACGAACCAAACATTGATGTGAATTTGTTCGTGACTCTCGTCTCATTTATTAACTTCGGTTATCGTGAAAAAAAAGACTTTTCTTATTACTTAAGGCGCAAATCGTGTATCGTTGAATCGTACAAATGGAAAATCTAACTAGAATAGTTTCATTTACCGGTAACAAAGTGCGAAAAACCGTAGAACAATGCAGAAGCCCGTTGGGCGGCACGGCCATGTGCAGAAACACACATCAGTGGACGCATCGCGAAGCAAAGACGGCTGCGAACGGACCGTCGGTACGAACAGCACCATCGACCTGCCGAGACTACCGCACTCTGTTGTTCGACTCAACCTCCATTAACTTTTCTCTTATTAAACGATTTCATCGTTGTGCCCTTCGTCTTCGTTCAAATCACTATACTCTGATAACATTCTATATTCTCTTATACATATCGAAAATTTCAAGTATAAACCTACCCTGGAAAAACTTATAATTTTTTATTAGAGAGTTGTTAATTTGACTACAACAGCGCAAGTTGTATTCTTATGATACGATAAAAGCATGCGTAGTTACGAGGGCGCTATACGGCGCCAGATTTTAACAACTAGAAGAAGATAAATGGAAATTTTTATTGCCTAATCGTACATCAATTTCAACATTGTATCGCTATGGAAAATACCAGTATTGTCAAAGGTATTGTTACAAATCATGTAACGATATCACTCCCCGTTCAAATTTTATAAAATCGAGTAAAACATGTGACATGCAATTATTTGTCTGCATAGAAATTGTCTGTGCAGTATGCAAATTTGATATTATACGTTTATTTTAAAGTTATTTGAAAAATTATCAGGTATCAGTTATTCGCAATTATTTGAAATATATTTAAGATTTTCCGATCATTTTATTACATTGAAAATAACAGGAAATTTAAGTCAAGTTTCAAATGAATATTTTAAGAAATGGAAGGTAATGTGGTTCTTCGTTTTTTTACCTTTATAATGTATTATTAAGTAAATTGTAAAATATTCTTGTATATTTTGAATTTGATAAACAATTTTTCTTCTAAATAGAATTTAAGTACATAATACAGAAACAAGAACAACAACAAATATGCTTTGGATCTAGATGTCCACGTGATACTTCTAAGAAAGGTATGAGTTCATTTATGAGACATTATACTTTAGAGGATTATCCAAATGTATCGCCGAATTCATATAATGCTTTAGCATCGTATAAAGCCATTAAAACCAAGGTATAATTTAATACTATTTGTACTACCAGCCAATAATATAAGTATTTTAAAGTAAATGTAACACAAATTCAAATAATATATCATATTTTAGCCTTGTTCCCATAGTATTAGTAAAAAAGGTTACAGTGGTATTGCCAGATTTGCTAAACAAGTTTTGCATAAAAATGATTACTCGTCATCATTTGATTACAATATTCCTATGTTTCCTAAACAATTACATGAACCCAAGTATTCTTTTAAACATAATTCTAAAAAAAGATCTTTCGGCGCAAATACAATTCCAGGGTACAGTAATAAAATTATGAAGGTAATCGTGTCAGTTACTTAACAGAGATAAATTAATACTTGTATACAACAGTCCAGGGATGTACACTAGTGCTAAAGGAGGAGGTATTGCATTCATGCACAATTTTGGTGGTAGGGTGCAAATGAAACTTGGCGTGGATTTAAAATGTTGTATTCAAAATACAGATGTTTGTAAAAAGTGTAAAAAGCAAATAGTCGATGACTATTGGCACTTGAAAAATAAAATATTTTTATGTAGATCATGTTTGACTAAAGAATATGAAACGCAAGATACATATAAAAAATCAGATTTAACATTATTTCGTGTAAGCGTGCAGACACTACAGGGAATTAATAGTATTGCATATATATTTGTATACACGTATATTTTATATAAAATTTTAGAAAATACGAGATTGTTCAGTTATACATCAACATTGTACGACTACTGCAAAAATATGGTTAATGTATCCTAATGTTGTTACGCAGTGGATACGAAGAGAAGCTTACCTGTCTGGTTATTTAAAAGGATAAATACAGTCAACGCACATTTTATAATTCCTACTAAAGTTGTACTTTATAGAAATACAACAAAATCTACTAATTTGAATAATATATTTATTTCCTTTATATTTATATTTATATTTGAATGCAAATATTTCTTAACTACACAGAATTTGTTTTAATTTGCTTCCATATATCTATGTTTTAAATATAATATGTACAAATGTTATAAAAAAATAAGAATATGAGTGCAGAAGTATACATACGTTGCTTATTTGATGTAACACTGATATATCTCCAAAATTGTTGTTTTCAGCTTACTGGTGTAGAAAAAACAATTACATATTGAGAATTCATGATATAGAGTATTGATATTGTAATGCTTATCTTCTAATTCAATAATTTCTTATAAGAATCTATCATTTGAATATGATGTTCTCTGATTGTGAGTTATGTTATTGTTGCAGTAAACGAGTAATGTTTGACGATGTTTGTATATTATGCGTGATTATATGCTATTCTACACTGATATCGTATATACATATGGTAGTCAGTTTACGTGTAACATATAATAGATATTAGGTATGTTAATTTTCGCATTATTACACATAAGTGTAAATTCAACCATAAATCACAAATGTGGAACATTCGTCTTTACTTATTTAAACAAATCCTTACTAAAAAATCAAATAATATGAATATGAATATACTTATATTAAATATAATTAATGATATAATGATTTCATAAAGTAATTAATTACAAGTATTCGATGATGAGCCTTGACCGTCATTTAATCGCTGTAAAATTGATTGTTTTGTCACATCTTCCATTGGATTACCGCCATCAGGAGCTTGTCTTGATAATACGAGATCTAATGCTTCAGAGGAAGTAGAGTAACTACATTCAGTTATTTCAACACCAACCTGTTTCACTGAAGTTCTTTGGGGCGATATTGTTGTAGTTGATTCTGTACTATTACTTGCAGGTAAATCAGTGTAACTGATTTTGCGAAGAACATTTACATTAAGATTGTTATCAATGCTTTCCGATGTACCAGATGGTGTCACGGTAAATAATTCAGCATTTGTTAACGATGACGGATAAATCTCCGTTACATTTCCTATTTTATCTAATTTATCGTTCACTGATGTGATAAAAGCTTCGGTATAACGATTATCTAACCGTTCAATGGCCTCTTCCTCTGGTGATGTATGTGAACAATACGTATCTGGTATTAAATGTGAGCATAGAAGTGGATTGAAAATATTGTTTGGATCCATATGACGAATGTTCGAAGCTATTAGATAAGTTGTTAACTCATCGCATTTTGATGTATTGCTATCTTCTTCAGAAACTAATTCTTCACGGATTACCGTCGACATCTTATTAACAATTTCTGATTGTGACGATACTTCGTACAAGTTTCCATTATTATATTCTTTATCTCCATTAGATGGACAATTTATTACTTGACTTTCAAAAGTACCTTGTTCGTGTACACTATTTGTTTCTTTTAGTATCGTAGAAGCTTTGAACTCTTGAGCACATGTATTATTATTTTGCATATAGTTGTTGCTCTGGGGTAAATCAGTTAATAAATTGGTGTTTATTCTCATTGGTACAGTTATAGTCGAATGTGATTGCAGAGGAAATTGTAAAGATAGTTTATCAAGTAAATAATTTATGTGCGTTTTCGTTCCTCGTTCTGGATAACTGGAGGAATTATTATCTAATTTTCTAATATTCTGTACTAAATATTCATTTCTATGATGTTTTTGACAATTATCGTTTATTACATTTCCTTCCGAGTAAGAATTGGACACGTAAGAAGAACAAGATCCAGTAGTCTCTTTATATTTCTTTCTTTTGTTAATGTCCGATGAGAAATCGGATGATAGACAATTTTGAATTTGATTTTCATTTGATGTATTCTTATTATCGTGCACTTTAACATCCGTATTCTGTAATAATTTTTTATCCAAGTGAAACACTTGATGCTTTACACCATCATTACTTACTGTAATGGATGCTACAGGGTCTGCACTTTTGTAATCGTTATTTTCTGCGTCACTATTTGATTCATTTAAGTCAAATTCACTTTCAATGTAATCTTCAAAAGCTGTATTTGTGACATCACGTAATCGTGATTCTAAACGTTTTGTAATTTCATTTAATTCCGTTAGTTTTTTCCTATAAAAGATAGAAATGTTGAAATTATTCTTTAAAAACGTATATGTATTATGAAACAGAGAAACGAAAATTAATTTTCTTACTTTAGAGATGAAGATAAGAATGACATAGATACATCTTCAAGACTAACGTGTGTTACAGAGTCAGTTGATTGATTTTCATTATGTTCTGATGTTTCTTCCTGTACAAGCATTGATAAATTGTTATTTTTCTCTGTATCATCGGAATATATCTCATGAGCATCCAATGGTAAATGGCTTAAATGAGATATGTCATATGTTGAAATTCGTGTTGTACTCAGAGTTGGTTTTCTAAACAATGATAAATTATCCAATGGTGCTATGGATACCTAAAATATAATTATTAAAATAAAATGTATAAATAAAGTAATATATGTATGTGAATTAAACCTGAATAATACTTTGATTTGTCCATTGCACTCTCCAGAAAAGTCCATTATATGAAACCATCCTGATATTGTAGGAAAACCAGAAATTAAAACTGAAATATCAATCGCAGAAAATCCAATGACAATATCCTTTTCTAAATTGACTTGCATACTTGCATCTGAATCTAATAAGCGCCAAATTTTTAAAATCAGTCTCTTTTCAGCCTAAAAAATATAATTTTATGAAAAAAATGTCAAATTCTTTACAGAATTTAATAGCAACATACACATAAAAGTAATTCTACCGGCAGCTTTACATCACATTTCCAGTTCCATTTAGGATTACAACTACGTGGGAAAACATTGGTAATCATATAAGAATTTAAATGTTTTGATGGATCACATTTATTAGCCTGAAAAGATACATATGTGCTGGGTTCGATTATTTCATTGATCTTCTCTAATTTTGGCAAATGTAATGCACATTCAATCTCAACGACGGCTCGGAACATTGTTCGATTACATTCAGAATCCATTAATTCTCTTTCTTTCGTATGAATTGCAGATGATAAATCAAATAATTTTCCGTTGTGATTAATGTTTGTTTGTTGGTCTACTTCTTCCTCATATTCAGCACCAACACCAACACTTCTATACATTTCTGTAGGTAACCGATAATTATGTTTAATACTATTGCTATCGCTCTCGTAGTAACTACTATTAAAATTTAAATTACTGATGCATATTTGTTCTTTCGAATTTGTACACATTTGTTCTTTACCATCCAAACTTATTTCATTATTTGAATTAACTTCATCTATGTTTAATCCCTTCATTAAACAATTCATAGAAGTATGTAATGTTATATCTTCCGAATTTGCTTCTTCTTGCGATCTTTCTCTTAATTTTAATTCTTCGATAGTTGAAATATCCGTCTGACATTCTTGAGTTCTTAAATTTAAACAGCACGCTTTCCTTTCTGCTGAATCAATTGTACAAAAGCGATGATCGCCCATTTTGTTTGAAATTGTCTCTACATTTATTTGCGAGAGATGTGTTTTCTGTGGATGATTTACAAATTCAGAAAAACTTTCAGCGCAACTTGACGCGTTACTGACATTTTGTAAATTTCTTATATTTTGTAATAATGTAATTTGCTCTGTGGTTCCAAGGGCTACCAATGCAAGTAATTGCCCATGAGACTGTCCAGTTACAGGATCGATAATTGGTACCCATTCATCTACACTTACGACAGGGTACTGAAACATTAAAATACAAAAACTTATAAATAGTTCAATTAATCTGCAATGTAACCGAAAATTATATCAGATAGAAATTATATACTTTAGATAATAATAAGTGAGGCAGTACATGGGGATTCCTATATGCAACATATAATGGGTGTATAGGTAATTTTGCCAATCCTAATATATTGTCTACATTGTTATCGTTTCTGTAATAAACTTCAATAATTATATAATTATTTTTCATAAGATTTAGTGAATCAGTGTTACGAACGACAGGTACTATCTGAAATATAAAAAAAATAAATATATTCTTGTATGCTATACACATGCGCGCACATACATAATCAAATAACATTATGATGTAAATTTCTTTCTTCAGGACATATTATATTTTATTGGTTTTATTTTAGTACTGCAAATATGTTATTCAATGTAAAGAAAATGTCGTTGGGATCTCAGAAAATATGACTTTTAAAAGAACATTTTCTTCATTGTGACAGTTCCTTTCAACTAAATATTTTTTCTTATAAATTTTTTGATATCATTGAAAACATCTAAGATACTTGTGATTTTACTATTAGGTGATTCACTCTCTACCTATATATTTTATATAAATTATTATACATAAAGGTATAAAAAGTAAATAAATAATATAATTACTTGAGAAAATTGATAAAATGGATTTTTTGTGTTGTTGCAAATTGCACTTTCACTTTTATCTTCTTTCCAAAATGCTCTACATATTAAGTAAGTATTTAACTCTGACAAATCTTTTCCTTCAGCTATATGTACAAAGCCTTGAAGTAAAACCTGCAAAACAATTATTCCTCGAACAACGATAATTATATGAAATATACTTGTGTTACAAATTTTGCTTTATACCTTTTCAGTTGCATTATTTTCTTCTTTTTTTACATCATTTTCTTTACTATCAGAATTTTCTGTTCCACGGTAAGATATATTAATTGTAGTATCTAGATCATTGTCAGTGGTTACACAATTTATTTGTTCTGCTGAAATTGATGATACTTGACCATGTGTGTCGGATTGAATATTCATTGCACTCTTGTTTCTTTCATCATATTTATCCTGATTGAATTCTTGCACTGCTTTCAGATTGTGAATATTTTCTTTGAAATATATATTATCTAGAAAAGTATAATACATGTATGTAAATCTTTAGATTCAACATATTTCTTTTCTATCAAAATATGCTTACCAATACATTGTTTTCCAAAGTGAATGAAATCTAAACCTAATTCCACAATTACACTTAATTCTCCAATTTTTATTCCTTTATTAGCGATAATTATATATCGAGTAGTACTCCAATTTTCAGATTTTATAACATCATTTATGGACATAATACCAGCACCTAACTCAGTTAGTGATTTTTTGTTGAAATGACGGATAAATATTTTAAATCTTATAAAATACTCTGTATTTAATTTTAATTTTGGTATTTCATAAATGCCATCATGATTAAAACAAATATCTATGAAAATACATCATTATTAATATCATTATATCATTAACAACACACTACAAATTTTGGAAGTAAATAAAGCACATTTATGACACATACCTTGATCCCTTTGCCGTCTAGAACATATCCTTATAGATTTGTTATTATTTACTGATTTCTTTCCTGCTGTTTTAATATGATCGAACGTCATATCATACTGAACAAAATAAATAGGATACACAGTTGTAGTATCATTATCTAAAACAAAATATATTAAAAAATAAAATACATATACATTTTGAAAGATCTCCATGCATCATTTTATATTTCAAGCCTTTCAATTTTATAAACGTACGCGACGAAGAAGAGGATTTTACACGTCTATATCCAGCAGAAGTCAGAGTAAATGATTTCACGAAAACTCTAATACTATTTATATGATTCAGGAGTAAATTTTCTGAAATATATCATATTAGAACTTTAATTTATATACTTAAAGGATCTTGAATGTTTATTTAAATGAGTTTTGTACCTTTTGGGGTGACATCAAATTTGTCTTCTAATATTTTCTCTAATGGAGAATTTGCTTGCGCAAAACAAGAACTGCTTGATGTAATTTCCTTCTTACTATGGTTGGAAACATTAAAACTATTGGATGTAGAATTCGTCAAGCTTGTAGTTGGAAAGTTTGATTTATCTATACATAATGCCTTGGACTCATCGAGTCCAGTCAATTCTTTACCCAAAATGTATTCACAGAATTTTATATTATCTTTATCAGAGGCATAACCATGTAAACTATTATTTAATGAATTATCACTAAAAACGAAATCATCTTCATTACATGATTCTCTTAATATTGCTCCTCTAAGTCTTTGAGCTCTTGCAACAAGTTGTGCAACAAGTTTATCCATTACTTCTTTATTACCTTTAATTAAAGGTTTTTGAAGCTTCATTCTTCTTGACTTTAAAATAGACTTATAAACTTCACTTTCTTTAACTTCTAAATTACCAAGGTCATTATTATTTATAATATCTCTTGAATATTTAAAACTATTAGCATTTACAAGTGCAATATTATCAATGCCATCATCTTTAATATGCTTCTGTATTTTTAATTGCATATTTGAAAACTTTGTTGCATAATCTAATTTCATAGAAACATGTATTTCTCCTATTTTATTTTCAAATTCATTTATGATTGATACATATTTGAAATATGGCTTTAATTCAAAAATTTTTAGTAAATTTGTGATTCTAGATGTTCCTATAACTACATTGCCTTCTTCAGACACAACTGTTAATTCTATGCCTTCACAGTTTTCAACATACTCTTGAAATAAATTTATATTGGTGCGAATAACATAAATTTCTGTTGTTTCATATATTGATCTTGTAACACTTTTCGTAATGTCAACTGGCCTGGAAAAAAAACCTGTACTTTGTAAAAGCCATGAAACAGTTTAGTTTCTTTAAGATAGAATAAAAGAACTTTATTGTATTAATGATAGAGAAGTTATGTAATATATTTGTATTTATAAATACGAATTAATAAGCATACAATTTGTATAAATATTTTTATTAAAAAGTCTGAAATACTTCACCTAAATAGAGCACTAACAGTTTCACCCCACCAAGATGCAAATACTTTAATATCTCCAAAACTTTTCTTCGTCCAAACGACTTCATCTATAACAAGTTTTAAATAACCATGAATTTTCCCTTCAACTAACGGTGGTAAAGATCTCTGAGGCTGTATTTCTGGCTCCATTTATTTTTTGTGCATAGAGCATGATTTAAACTGCTTTTTTACTCATTTACGTTTGTCGTTGATTCAAATTAACATTACTAGAACAAACCAGTATACCACTATAAATTATTAAACAAAAATCTATGCAATAATCTTATAATAAATTGCAGAAATAATTAATAATCACACTTTTATTCTGTTCCTTTTATGTGAACTAATGATAATAAAATCAATAGATAGTTCGTTATCCGTAATTCAATTTCTAGTATAACTACAAATGCAAATGTGCTGCCATCTCTCATAATGTAGGTTCATTATATACACATAAGTAGACACCTAGGTAATACATATGTACGTTAACAAATACGATCCAGTCGGCAAGATTAACTTTTATTACATTATTTCTACTTAAATAAAAATTTTTAAATGTTAGAAATAAGTTTAACAATGTCTCAAATGTTTCGAAATTTTAGAAAATGCGTGGAAAGTTACAGGTTGTTAGAAACAAAAATTTTAATAAATTGTCGAAAGACAAGTTATTCCTTTTATTCGTCAAACTCATTACATTCAAATGAAATGAAATTGCCAAACCTTTATCGACATATATACTCAAAAATCGTAGCATGTGGGCCTATGACTGTTGCTGATTATATGAAAGAAGTTTTAACTCATCCAACTGCCGGTTATTATATGAGTAAAGATGTCTTTGGAAAAGAAGGTGATTTTACAACATCTCCAGAAATTACACAATTATTTGGAGAAGTATGTAAGTTACATTTAGTCTTTTAGTAGAAGATATAGAATAGATACTTTTCCTACAAAAAATTTTAATTTATATTTTGATTCTACGCTTCTCAGATGATAGCAGTTTGGATGCTCCATGAAAAAATGAAAATTGCTAAAGGTCCCTTTCAAATCATCGAATTAGGACCAGGTAGAGGAACTTTAATTAAAGATATATTACGGGTATGGTATTAGTATTAAAAATATAAAATATATTAATTTTATTATTCAAGCATATGTTTATTTATACAGGTATTTAAACAACTAAATGTCTTAAACAATATATCAATACATTTAGTAGAGATCAGTCCTGCATTATCATTAATTCAAGCAAATAATTTATGTAAAACGAGTAAAGAACACAATATTGAAACAAATGAGTCCGAACACGATTACATTACTTATTATAGAGAAGGTGTTACAGAAGATGGTATAAACATATATTGGTATCATTCTGTTAAAGATGTGCCCAAAAAATTTAGTATATTTTTAGCACATGAATTTTTTGATGCTTTACCAATACATAAATTTCAGGTATTTAAAAGGTAAACATAAAATTTAAATCATATATATATATATATAAATTAAACTTTTTGAATTTTAGAAAACTAATAGTGGATGGAGAGAAGTTCTAGTGGATATAATTGAAGGAAGCAAAGAAGAAAAGTTTCGTTATGTATTATCAAATGCAGAAACACCTGCAATGTTTTACATTGCTGTAAGAATTTAGTTTTACTATCAAATTATGCAACAAATGATATTCGTCTAAACAAATGTTTTATTGTTTTTTATAGGATAATGAAAAAAGGGACCATATAGAAATCAGCCCACAAAGTCTGGTAATAGTAGACTACATAGCTCAATATTTGTGGGAATATGGTGGATTCGCTTTAATTTGTGACTATGGACACAATGATGATCAAACAGATACATTTCGTGCATTTTCTAAACATAAAGTGCACGATCCACTATTACATCCAGGAACTGCAGATTTGACAGCAGATGTCGATTTTGCAGCTATAAAAAATGTTGCAGAAAAAGACAACAGACTTATAACATTTGGACCAATAGCTCAAGCATGTTTTTTAAAAAATCTTGGAATTGATGTACGGTTAAAAATTCTTCTACAAAATGCTACAAAAGAGGAGCGTGAACGTTTAGAATCTGGATATCGAATGATTATGGATGATGATAAGATGGGGAAACGTTTCAAAGTTTTATCACTTTTTCCTTTTGTCGTAAAGGAATATTTTCAGAAATTACCAGTAGCAGGATTTTGAAATGAATATAAAGAACGAGTCACAAAATATTAAATCGATATTTATTGTTTATACATTAAATAAAAGAAATAGATGTAATTTAAATAGCATTTTTTGTTATTCATATTTCTATGAAAAACGTTAATGTATCTTTACAAGTTTTAATTTTAGGTACAAGTTTATGTTTTAGAGTTGCATAATTGCAGAAATCAAATTAAGTAACTGTAAAATCATATTTTCTTGACATTTCTAAAAATTTTAATACTTTTTCTCGTTGTTGATTAAAATTTTCTTTTTTAGGTTTACGCCAAACATCATGATTTAAATCTAACATTCCGCCGATAATCTCCTGAAATGATATGTATTAAAAATTGTTTCTATGAATGATAATTCTACTTCTAAAGTTTATTTGAAAAACAAAACTTACCTCTGCAAAATTTGTTGGAAATAAGTGTTCATCTTCTATAACATGGGCATATCCTTTACCACTTTCAAATTCGATCATGAAATAAGATAAACCATTTGGTATGGCTTTTCGTATATCCTTGTGTTCAAGTTCAATAACTTTTTTATTCATTGACCATTCTGTTTCACACTCCAGTAATGCTTTCTACATTAAAAATTATAATAAATTATAATAATTGAAGTAATTCGATTCATTATAGATATATAATTTTACCTTGAAATACATTGGAATTAATTCACCTATTTTTTTTGGTAAAGGAACACATTCTAATTGCATATGCAAAAATTTGTGACGATTTTTATAACTTTCATAGAATACTGGATATTTATTTTGTTCCGTAAACATGTCATATAAAATTCGTTTAAATACCTAAAAATAAAATTTTACATACTTTATGTTCATAAGACGTTATAACTATATTTTACCTTTAATTTTTCCCAAATATTTTCATCTAATTGCAATTGACAAGCAATATGGTGTACTGGTGTAATTATACAATGTCCTTCGGTTAAAGAAGTATAAGGAGGAAGACTTAAACAAATTTCAGAATTCATTGCAATAATCATATGTTTTAACATGTATTTGGAATCTATGCACCAGTGACAAGTATCTAAACTTTTTGATAGTCGTTTATGTTCCTTGATAGCAAGTGAACGATCTTTTTCATCCCGGTTTGTATTTGATTGAACTCGTGTAATTTGTTCTTCAAATATTTCATCCATATTCATATTCTGGAAATTTATATATTTAGTAATATGTAATAATAGTAAAATAAGTGTTTTGTTTTCCTGTATACCTTAGAAGCAACTTTAGCAAATAGAGCATCATCTTCATTTGTTGACCTTCCTTTTTCACGTTGGAACTAAGACAATTTATTATCTTGTTTAGATATAATGTTAACAAACGTAATTATTGTATTTGAATGAGACACTTACCATTTGCTGTAACGAATATTTATCATCATCATAATAATGTAGCATTCTTTTCCCTGCAGAGTGAGTTTGTACATTCTTTTTTACGACATTCTCTGAAGGTTCTGTAAACTGACTTCTAGATTCCAATGGCCTTGTAACACCTGTTATACGAAATATCTCTCATTAATGAACCTTTGCCTGTAGGTTGAAATTCATTATCTTCAATGTACCTTTAGTATCAGTCCTTGTAAGAATTACAGTCTGATCTTTCTCAGATTTATCCAATTGAGTAGTATTCGTCGCTAGTTCCCTAGCTTTCTTCAATTGATTTTTTAATTCAGCAGCAAGTTTCTACAAAAACAGTATGTAAATTATTATAATTTTAGTACTTACTGTACATTTAAGTATAAAAACCAGGTATAAAACGTACAATATCACCCATTATTTCTGCTTTAACAATTTTTGCTCCTAATTTATTTAGTTCTGATTCTGTTATAGTTTGAATTTCTTTGTTACCTATATTATTAATATTACTATTGCATTGAACATCGACAGTCTTCAATTCAGAAGCATTCAATTCATTTTCTTCAGTTTTATCCGATATCTTTGACTTTTGCCACTTTTTTATACGTGAATAATGTATACTATGTGAAGTATTAACAGGACAATCATCATCTGTAGGCTTTTTGTATGTTGGTTTATGTTTACTGTGATGTACAGTATCCGGTATTCTATGTTGTTCACTTTGATTATGACTTTTGGATTTAGATTTATAATGATCATTTTTTAATTTTACAGAATAATTTGAATGGTGTCCACTACCTTCATGTCTTTTATTTTTCTTCCTATGATCTTCAATCTTATATGCTTTATTGCTTCCTATATTATTTTTTAATTTGTCTCTTGATGTTTTTTCTGCTTTCAATATCATTGACTGAATAACTTCTAAAGACTAAGGAAATTAACACTAGCGTATTAGCATTATTTCTACAGAATGTCTTGCATAATGTATTATTGTTGGCTAGAATATGATTCTACGTGAAAGAAATGTAGAATAAAATTTATTTTTTACATGCAAAAATGAGTAACAAGATTCACCAAGAAAAATTTATGGTACATTTTCAACTGGCTCTTTAGCATAGAATCAGGCCTTGGCCTACAACATAATATTATATATCAAACAATCATATGTACTTACACCCCATCTCTCAGCTGCAATTTCTTCTAAACATCTCCCTTTACTTTCTGCTTCTTCTTGTGCTCGCAAAAGGCTTTTCTTAAGCCAGTTTGCATCCATGATTTGGTCCTTATTTGTATTTATTAAATCTGCACAAGGTAAACCATTTCCACCATTTTTCCAATATGGATTTAATTCTTTACTGCTTTGTCCTACTTTATCTAAATCCAATTGGTTGGTTTGTTTGTTCATGCTAACGGGCAATGATCTTTTATCATTAAAGATGCAAGGAAATATATTTTTCGCATCCATCCACTCTTCTCTTTTACAAGATTCCTCTGTTTTTGTAGGTAAAGTACCTACGTCTTGATTTACTGATTGAGATTGTGTAGATTTTTCCACCCATTCTTGTTCACTTCCACTACTATCCTAAAATTTGATTATTTTTCTAATCATAAATGTAAACAATCAAAGTACACAGAAAGAAATTAGAAATAGTGTACGTGACAATATCGGATTGTACTTACATCACTTGAGTCCGATATATCATGTTTCCTGTGCTTTTTATGTTTTTTCTTATGTTTCTTCCGTGATTTTTTACTTTCTTGTACAAATTCGTGTTTCTCTTTCTTACGTTTCATGTTTATGATATTTATAACCTATAACTCAAATACGTATACTGGAAATTCTACGTATCTGCTTGCAGGACATGTAACCAAAGCTGTCAACTTGACGGCTCATGAGCTCTCTAGGGCAGAGGTGTCTATTAAGGTGGTAACTGTCTAGGTAGGGGTACTAACTTACTCCCCTCTCGCTAGTAACTCTACAAGAGAACAGTGTAGGGACAATCTACCAGAAGAAACTAGGTACGCAGTAAAATAAAATTCTGTTAAGCTTCTCACGTGTTGGCGGTTCGACGACGCTGGGTCAGAGGGCGGGAGTACGTGGCTCCCACTACCTCTCTCAAAAAGCTTTTCGAGATTGTGAATGTGAGCAGTTCTATGTAGTGTTAAATACAAACAGGTAAAAGTAGGTATGAAGAGGGTAACTTTTCGTGAGGAGAGTGTCACTAGAGTGCCCGCGCGTATCCAGTTAGACACCGTTGCTTGAAAGATACCATACTAATTAAGTGCACGTTTACAGACGTATACTGAATAATATTATAACTGTTGATGTGTATTATAAAAATTCTGAATGCATACCGTGTAAAAAATTTGTAATACAATAAAAAGTAAGTAAGTAGTAAGTTACTCAGGTGTACGTTATACTTGAAGTATACATGGTTTAGACAACCAATCGCGACTACGCAGTTACCGCGTCGTAGATTTTGCCGCGCAAACGTTGTGACTATCTCTCGTGATATTAATTGAATGTTGCTTACCGTTTTAACAGTTTCAGTTAATTGTTGTGCTTTATTGTTTCAGTAATTTGATTTATTAAAGTGACTGCTGTAAATTAAGTCAAAATATCCTACATTTATTAAGTCCATGGTAAATATTTACTATATTCATAATTCCATGATAATACGTTAATTCCTGATAAACATTCACAATTACTTCCAACAAAAATGATTAACAATTCTCATAATTATTGTAATAATTATTTATATTAATACATTTTTTCATTCATTTTAGTTTAGGAATTGGCGTAAAAGAATTTAATTAATACGTATAAACAATATATATATACATGTGCATATACATATACATGTACATATATGTACATGTAGTATATATATATATATATATATCTATATTTGTTTAAACTAGCTTTTATTAACATTATTATGCAGTAAATCAAAGTTACTCCTAACAGATTTTTATATTTGAATAACTTCCTATTGTTTTAGGTGAATCTGTAAAAAATGGTTGAAACCGATCAAGGTAGTAAAAATAACTTAAATGATTCCTTAGACACCAATGAACTTACAAAAAAAAGGCTACGAGAAGAAAATTCAGATGATGAAAAGTTGCATTTATCTTCGAAAAAGTTGTGTATTTCTACCGATAAAATTGCATCTGAGGAAAAGAAATCAGAAGCAAATGGCATTATCATAAAAGAAGAAGCAGATGATACAAACATTTCTGATAAGGAGGAAGAGATGAAAGCTACAAATAATTCTAATAACAAAGAAGATTTAAATATTTCTAATAACAAAGAAGTAAGATATAAATCGGTATCAGCAGGAAATATAAATAATGATCAAAAAATAATTCATAATGTAAAATCTGAAGACGATAACGAAGAAAGTTTTACTACTAATGAAGAAAAAGAAATTAAAAGTGAGAATTCTATGGATAGCGAACATAAGGTAAGCTGTTACACATTTAATAGATATTTTATTTAAATACTGAACGTTATATTGCTTTCCATTTTATTTGAAAGGCTAATATAGAATCTGAATCAAACGATGATGGAGAAGAGGCAATAATAAAGGTTGAAGAAACAGAGGAAGCAGAGAATAATATTAAGAGTAAAAAGAAGCGAAATAAATTACAAACAGAAGATGCAGAAGTAGTAGAAGGCCTAGAACTTTCAGTAGAATGTGCTAGTGACAAAGAATCTTCCAGTTCTTCTGAATCTGAAAATGAAAAGGAGAAAAAGCCTAAACCGAAGACAATAATTGTGAAAGCTGAACCTAATGATTCTGAACTTGATGTTAGCTCTTCTGAAGCAGACAAGTCAGATTCGCAAGATGTGTCCGAAGTCAAGTCTAAGCAAAATGCAAAGAAAGGAAAAAGAAAGGCTCGAACATCCTTTAGCAAACCGCCAGACGGCGATTCTGAAGAAAATGATGATGTTTCTGACGAAGATTACAGTCCTCGAACTAAGAAAAAACTTAAGAAAACAATAACGAACAAAAAAAATTCTAAGTTATCCTCAGAATCAAAAGGAAGTCACGATAGAACGAAAAAGACAGATCAAAAATTAGATGAAGAAGAAGAAGAAGGAGAGGAGGATGATGAAAATTCTGATACAATAGACGATAAGAAGTCAAAGGAAGATTCTGGCACTAAAAAAGTTAAAGCAAGCGATAGAAAAATCGAACTGCTGAAAAAATATATCAGAACTGCTGGAATACGGGTTAAATCATATAACACTATCTGGGTTGGATGTAAATCGAATGCTGCAAAAATAGCGTGTCTTCAAGAATTATTGGAGAAGAATGGGATCACTGGGAAACCAACTTTGGAAAAATGCAAAAAAGCTAAACAAAGAAATGAGAGACTAAAAGATGTTGCTGAATTGAGCACCAGCAATATTATATCAGAAGGTTAAGAATTTCATACAGTCCTATCAATGATTTTATATATACGTATATATTATTAATATTGTAATAATCATCAGTGATTGCAATATATTATTTTTAGGACGTGTCACGCGCGCTCAGAGAAAGAAAGAAGCTCCTACAGATCATCGTGAAGTACGCAGTACCTTGAAGAGAGTTTCAAAAGTTATCGATAGCGATTCGGAATGAAGGCTAACAAAACTAGAATAAATACTCGAAAGTTGTTTATAAGATGTACATGCATTGATTACTCGCTTATTTGAATGCAGTAAGTATGTTTCTCTATTTAATGCTCATTTAATGGTCAAAGTTCTATATTAAATATGTTCGTACTTGTTTACATAAAAGAGACTGGTAAACATTAAAAATAAAGATAAAAATGAGATTAGGCCAGAAAATGATATGTGTAAATGTAATATTTGTATTAAATTATACTTGAAAACACTTGTAGGCAGAAAACAAAAATTCACGAAAGTACACATTACCATCAGAAAGTTATTCTGTGTTGTATAGTCTTTACTCTTAATAGAAAGTATTCTTTAATCGGATTTATTTAAGAGTCGCTGCACAATGAAAGTATTTAGATTTGAGAAATTGTTCAGATACGGACTTTTAAGGAATTTTATAACGAAACAGGTTTGAATTGTATTATAATACAGTGTGTATACATATAATTATTTTATTTTTTCTTTAGAATTAATTATTACAGATCAACGTACGAAATATCGTGAAGTTAACGTAACAGAATGTAATTCTCCGTTGCTTTCGAACTTATAAAAATTGATTTCACAAGATCACCTGCAAAAAGAATCTTGTGTTGTACGTAACACGTCGTACTTGAAATAATGTTTATCAGTAATATCGGGATCAATTGAATTCATTCGGAAATGTAATTCTCATTTTTCAAACAAAATGGAACTTAGTTTTTGTAAGTTCTTAAGGCATTATGCGAAATAACATAAATGCTAATGCCGTTTTTTAAATAATTTAGACTGCATGTGATGTAAACAACTTTTCATATAAATACTATAGACTTTAGTAATAGTACATTTTAATAATATAAAGAACGTGAGTATATAGATTATGTTTAATTAAAATAAACATTTTTATTAAGTATATTTTGTAATTGTTAGAATTAATGGCAATATTCTAAATATATTTGAAAATATATTTTTCTTATCAAATATCATGTAAAATATTTTTATTTTTCAGTGGTCCGTGTTTTCTATTATTAGCCTGTATACACTGAAATCAAGTAGTACGTTTTTCTTAAAAAATATTGCAAAATATAAAAAATAATTTAGTTACTATGTCGGCAGTTGGCTAAACTTTCCAATGCATTCTTTGCTGCAGAATAATTTTTTCTCTTTAATCGCTGTTCGAGCTTTTAATAGATTTTTGTTACAAACATGACAACAGAAGCAACTTCCTGTCGCGTGAAAGTTTAAATCCTTCAGAGCTACTCCTTGTTGATCTGCAGCGATTACCTTGTTGCACGTATTACATGTTTTCGCGTATGTTTTTTGATAACAAGGAAGGCACAATGGACGATCACTCTCCGTAGTATATTGTTTCCCAGCTAAAGGAATATCGCAGTCCCAACAACAAAAATGTTTTACGTGATAATTGTGTCCTTCGGCGACAGTATATTCTCGTAGGAAAATTAGCTGAAAAAATGAATGAAAGTTAGCTGGCGTGTATCTAAAATGTTGAAAAGCATCATAAAGTACGATAATTACTTCGTCACAGGCGAAACATCTAGGAATTCCCAGAAGCGATGATAAATCTCTTCCACAGTACAATTTGTTTTTATAGTAAAAATACACTAAATCTACTAATAGCTCGTTACAAGTGTCACAGACAAAGCATCCAGGATGCCACATAGCATTTTTAGCTTTTTCTGTAATTACAGCGACATCACCGACGCGTATTACTTCTTCGCACTTATGGCACTTCTGTAGTTTAACAGGATCCACTGTTAGATTTTCCACACCATCTTTAAGCTGCTCTATCTTCAGTGAATTGTCTGCTGGTTGGTTCGTACTGTCGATACTTTTATAGGGAAATGCATGATTTTGTAATTTCTCTGAGTAGATAATAGTGGATGGTACCGAATAATTGTTCAACTTTGCCGGATGATTACTGATCTTGGAATGTTCACACATTCGTGGTAACGAGGCTGGTGTAAGTGAATCGGCTGTTAATTTCGAGTGCGCCATTATCGCGTCAAGAGGAGTCGATTGGACCTTTTGCGAATTCATTCTCATTACTTCTTTTTCCGCTTCTGTTCGCTTAGATTCGTTAGTGGGTTTTTCTACTGTTTGAATTTTGCCTTTCAACGGAGTTAAAGCATTGGGTGTGTTCTTTGCGGCAGTAATAATGGTCGCTATATCACTCTTATTGTCAGCATTTATGCTTTGCGGTGAAATATTATTTTTTAATAAGTCATTGTTATCTAAATCGTTTGCAAAGCTGTACGCGTTGCACGACGGTTGCAGTTGATGATTCCCTTGGTTGCTATATTTATTTGTAAGTTTCTCTCGTATATACTTCAAACCCTTTTGATCTAATGTACTACCAATAATGTCATTGGCATGCACTGTACTAGGAGGAAGTAAAGCATCCGCTAATATAGCTTCTGCGATATACGCTTCGTTATTAATTGATTTTGAATGCGAGAGAGAGGTTGGTGGATTCTTTAATACGTTATGTACTTCTTCGTAATGTTCTACAGAATTCTGAGGCATTGTACCTTCAGGATCTGAACATTCCGAATAGTTAGGGATTGAAACTTCTTTACTTGTAATATCTCGATGATTGTTATTAACTCTTTGACAATTAATTGACGAAATACCCTTATTATATACTCCACTCCTAATTGGTTCTGACTTGGCTATTTCACAATTATTACTAATTGTATTAAGTGTTTCAAACACTGGTGTTGTACTGGTATTATTTACCATTACTGAAATGGGCAACGATGCTTCATAATTGTTTGATTTCGAGTGCGCATCCTTTTTATATGGACTTTTTGAAATTATGAAACTACTCGGTGTGCGTAATTGAACCGTGTTCGATTGTATGTTATGTTTATTTTGTGGACTGCAAGGTTGCATGTCAGTAGCATTAGCGGGCGTCATTAGCAACCGATCGAATGGTCGCGCACTTAATATCTATAAAATAAAAAAAGCATTCAATGCAACTATATTGAGAGTATGATACATTAGATTTTTAGTAAATTAATTTACCTTTGTCACTGTTCCTTGTCCTACATATTTCTTTATATTTTCTAAATATTTTTCAAATTGTTTCTGTTCTTGTTCAGTTAATTTATCGCAAACTTTATAATCTACATCGTGAAGAGGTAATTGTTTTTGCAATAATTGCCTTCTTAAGGCTGCACCAGCTGAACCTTTAATAGGTAATTTTTCTATCGGCAAAGCTTTCATATACTCTGTAGCAATTTCTTTTGTTGTATCTGGTGGGATCCATTCAAATGCTTCTTGCGCATGTTCTTTTCGATCATGTATACGCAACACTAAACAAAGTGTCATTAAAAACAAATATTACTACCAAGGTACAGTATTGTATATTCTATATTTAATATTAATAGTACTTACATATCGGTTTTTTTTTATATTTTTTGGAGGATCCAAATAACAGATCAAATTGAGGAAAATCTTCGTCGTCCACATCATGATCATCTTTACTGCATTTACAATTTTTGCAAGTTTTTCTCCAAAAGTGTAAGTCTAAACCTGGACACGTACTTTTGCAAATCATACATGAAGCTCCAGCTCCAGCTTCATGCGCCAATCGAGGCTGAATAAAGGAATAATTGAATTAAAAAATTCTGTAGAATAATAATCTTTATCATTTTGTAAATGATATATGTTTTACTGTACCTGTACGTGTCATTATTACAAATATCATTTATCAATTTAAAAACTATCACAGTAGTATTAGAAGTAAACTATTTGGTTAAACAATTGCATAAATTATATGAATAATAATAATTAAATGTAATAATATATGTTCTCAATCAAATATTTAAATTGTTAGCTCACCTTTCTTTTCCTATTTTCTAATTCTAACAACCATTTTGGATGATCATTTGATTCTATATCACTCATTTTTAGTTATTTTTATTTTGTCTCAATATTGCTATATTTAATTTTATATAAACGAATGCAATTTTATCCAAACGCAAACTTGTTTAGTCCCTGAACACTTCTACAAACGTATGACTCACCACCTATATCCCATAAGAAATCTGTTACTGGTCATCACTATCATGCTTTCTCCTTCTACCACAGGGAAAATCTAAGTACCTACGTGTTTTGGAAGATATCTCACAAATGTGTAAAACGTTCGATATGATATTTACAATCTGTACAAACAAATTCAATAATGTATTAAACACTAATTTATGTCTCCCAATTAAAATCTCGGCATTTATCACATCTACAAAACCCCATACCCTCCTGAAAAACATTTATATCTCATCTGTGTTTACTACTACTACTACTACTACTACTACTAAAAGGCATCATTCCATACCACAATGGCAGTGAACATAGATGGGGTACGAGCAGCTCGGGGACTGGGACTTAACCCTTTACGGACCCGTGTCGTGACAGACTCAATATTCAATTTTTTTCCAATAGCTGCATATTTAACCGATTTATGTTAATAAATATAATTTTAAATTATAAGTATAATCTTAATGTATTATCTAATTATCTGCACATTTTCTTGAGATAGTTAAAAAAATTCTTTCATGCTTAAATAACGTATATATGTATCTACAAGTTACACATTCAATTTTTACTTGATTTTTTATTTAAAAAATTGGCAATATAATATTCAGTAATGACTTATCTCTATCTCAGTCTCACTGTATATTTACTTAATGTAATGTTTCATAGAGGATGTACAAAGAGGATACTGTTTAAGAGCAATTGGATCGGGATTGTCATTATTCGTGCTTTATAACCTTGTAAAATCGTTTACCTTATCTTTTTACTGGATGACAATGTTTTGTATACACAAATTGTACAATCTAATATTAGGCAGCAAGATTTTTCTTCTGTACATATATATATATATATATATATTTAACTCAACTCTTTAATCAATTCCAAAAGCAACATTAAATTCTGTTTCAGAAATCTAAAAGAATTAAATTGAAAACAGATATTAAAATTAATTAGAATACTTAAAAAATCGAGTATAGACTATAAGTACCTTTTTCTTCTTTAATTGTTTTATTAATGCTATATCTTTTGAAAGTTCTTCAATATCCTGTTGACTAATTTTCTTTCTTTTCTTCTTTGTTGAATTCGTTGAATTCACTAAATTCATTCTTTGTTTAATCTTTTTTTCTTGTCGTTTTTTACGATTTTCCTGTTTTTCCATTTTTTTCTTCTTAGTTTCAGACCACGGTTCAGATTGTTTGCGTTTACGTTTATGCATAGTAGGCCATATTCCACTATCTTGGAAGACCTGAAGTTTTTCTAAACGATTTCGTTCCTTTTGTTTGTTTAAATAACTAATTAAATTAATATCAACATGTTCTTCTTTGAAAGATTCTGTATTTCTTCCCTTAAGCTCCGGCATTCGAGGCATACGCAACAGTCCAAAACTCATTGCAAGTTTGCCTAAATCGATGTCCTTCAACCTTAGTATCAAATTACATTCGTGTTTATTATATGCTTGTACGTATGATACAAATGCTCTGTTTGCTTTATCAAAAAGTAATCGATCCTTTTTTTGTAAATCTCTCATGCATTTTAAACATTTTTCATACAAACTTATAGATGGTTCTATGTCTACCTTTTGTAAGTCTACTTTTTGATTTTTCTTAATAAAATTGATATATGCATCTTCATTTTCTATTAAGAATAATAATGCATTCCCTTCATTTCCAATTCTAGCAGTTCTGCCACATCTGGAAAAAAAGAGTAGAGCATTTAATTTTAATAATTCAAATAAGTAATTCATGTATCACAACATGTATTATACTCTGATTATTATTACCTGTGTACGAAACTACTAGCTGAGCAAGGAGGATCATACTGTAATACCCAATTAACTTCTGAAATATCTATGCCACGAGCCATTACATCAGTGCAAATTAAAATACCACTATCAATACGTCGAAATTCGTCAAATACTTTATACCTCTTGCCTTTCATTTTGCCGTGTATAGCAAGTATTGGGACTGATGGCAGCATTCTAAAAATTAAATATATTTTTGCATAAAGTCTATTTTTACAGATTTATATTTTATATATATATATATATATTTATAATATAACTTACACCTGAATAACATGACTAAAATAATCTACACATGCGCATGTAGATAAAAAAACCATATACTTTAAATTAATTCCTTTTTGTTGTATGAAGTCTATCATTGCGGAAAATTTATATTCTGTATTTACAATAGTATAACTGTTTATTAAATTTGATGGTGTTGAAATATTTGCTTTTTCTTTAACAGATATTAAAGCTGGATTTCTTAAGCCTGCTCTGATCAGTTGCTGTAATTCCTTTGTTTGTGTTGCAGAAAATAAACCTGTTCTTCTAAGACGAGGCAAATAACTTAATATAGTGTTTAATGTTGCAGAAAAACCCAAATCTAATAATCTGTCTGCTTCATCTAAGATTAATATTTCCTATAATGAAATAATTAAAATTCCATTAAAGGCATCATGACTCTATGGCAATGAGATTATTAAATTTTAAAATCACTTACCAATGATTTCACACGAACAGCCAGATTTATACTTTTACAATTAGATAATATATCTTCTAATCTACCAGGTGTTGCTACAATAATGTTTGCACCATTTCTAAGTTTCTCTGCATCTTCTGCAATCGTTATACCACCAACAAGTAATACTTGTTTTAAATGCGAGAGATTGTTTAAAAATTTTTGTAGGACTTCACTGATTTGTACCGCCAATTCTCTTGTTGGACTGATTATTATTGCTCCAACCTCTGTAGATTTCCATTTCTCTTTTCGTTTCTTTTTTCCATGAAAAATACTTACTTAATAACAATTGTTTCTTTACGTTGAACGAATATTGTCCGAATAAATAAATAAGTAAACACACAAACAAACAAACAAACAAACAAATAAATAAATAAATAAATAAATATAGATATATAGATACCTGTAAAATTTCTAACATGGGAACTATAAAAGCAACTGTTTTTCCGCTACCTGTTACCGCTTCTACCGCAACGTCTTTACCTTTTAATAATAATGGTATGGAGGCTGCCTGTTTACAATTTTATGAAGAATATAAATAATATTTAATTTTTAATTATTATCTTTAGTTACATAAAGGTATTTCTTATCATCAACGATGGTACTAAAATCCTGAATCGTGACTTCAATTAAAATTATAATTTTCATTTATAACATTTACCTGTACCGGTGTCATATAAGAATATTTTAATTCTTCAATAGTTTTCAATACAGAATCGCTCAAAGGTACTTCCAGTTCTTTCCAATTTTGTGTTTTCATTGCGATTTTGATTCGTTATTCGACTAAAAATGTTAAAAATCACTTCTAACCCAACAACAGTTTGCAGTATTTCAATGGTTATCTTTATTATTATGTTTAGGTTATGTTCGAGAATATATTATTTGCATAGATATGATTTGAAGTTTCACTTTGTATTCTTCGGATGTGACACGTTAATAAACGAGTATAACTTCGTTTCAATTAAATATACGTAGTCATACGGATGGATAACGATGATGAAATGTAACAAGTTAAAACAGTTGAGAGGTAATACGCGGAATAAAGACTGTTATGTAAATTGGCTTTTAACGCATTGACTTTATTTTGATGTTTTTTTTTTAAATCTCTTCGATATAAAATTTGTGTCTAACGATGCCACGCATTAACTATCTCACAGTTAAGGATCGTCCTGTCCTTCGTTTTTCTTATATACACGACTAGGTCTAAGGCCGTAATTCAACGTGTCTTTCTCAACACCATAGCATCTGAAGTATTCGTTTACATGTTGCAAATACATAATTAATTTAAATGTTTCGATAATTTTGAATCTTCGGTACAACGCATTCCCCACATTTTGTATTTGTTGTATTTATTGGGTGTGCGTGTGTGTGTGTGTGTGTGTGTGTGTGTTGAAAATTTAGTCAATTTTTCGGAATTTATTATGTGTGTATTAATTAAATACTCGAGTAGTAATAGTAAATTATGTATGACTCGAATTTCGTAAACTGACCGAGAGTTTGGTGGTTTGATTTTTAAACGAAGTATAATTAGGATAGCGTTTGATCGTATCAGTTTTGAAGCTACATTTGATTTCTTTCTAAATAAAGATTTAAACGCGGTGAATGCTATTGTTTATGAACATTCGAACTTCATGCTTCCAACTGCCGAGCGAATATTAATGAAATTTTGAGTATGAGAAATTCTCCTTTTTTTCACAGACAAACATTCACAGATGCTTTTCTGTCGAAATTGTTTGGTCGTTTTAAACGACATTACTCGTCTGAACTTCTTGTCCCTACATTTTCCCTAATTCGACTTAGTCTCTGCTTCGAGGATCTCGTGCATCAATATCTCATAACAAACCTCATTGCTGACGAACTACGAAATTTGTAATTGTGTGTCAATTGTTTCGTCATCATCTTTTAATATCGCATAACTGAATAGAATTTGATTAAATTTAAAAGAATTATATTAATCCATTTCCGTGCTTTCCGGTCATTCCACTGAAGTATCACGTACGAAAGCGCGAGCAGAAAAATATGCCACGTATTATACACTTTTTATACCGTTTCAGGAATTGCTTTGTGTAAAAAAAGAATTTTTTACTTGCGCAATATATTTATGATCTTTTATCTATCGAGTACTTAGATCTTCGAAGGTAGGTACATGCGATACCGTACAGAACCAGTCTAGTAAGTAGCACTCTGCGCCAACCTTGCAAGTTGGATTTTGGCTTAATAAGTGTTTACAAAGTCACATGCGGGCTATTGTAATTATAATGTTTCTCAATTTTGTAATAGTCACGGTCCCTCCTTATCTTTTTCCTTTCTGAAATATCCTGTAATATTATATAGGCATCACCTGTCAATATACTATTCTCAAGTATATTTCGTTGCCAATTTTCTATTCACATTTCGACTTCTGCTATAAATCGATCTTTAAAATTACGCTTTTATCTCTTCTTTTTTTAAATATTACATTTAAACTAGTAACTCATAGCCTCGAATGATACATAAGCTGTTTCGAAATATTGAAATATCTTTTGTATAATTAGAGTAGGATTGAAACATAATCTTTGAGGGATGAGAAATCATTGTGGGTAGTTTCTAGCGAACTGACCCCTTTCCAAAACAGTCACTTTCAGGATGAATAGCACTTTGTTCTATGTAAAATCTGTTCTCCGTTCAATTGTCGTTTCTCGTTTCGATTAGTTTTAACGATGCGTTGCTTTTGTTGGAAAAGGCATTAACATTTTTAAGAGAAAAAAATCATATGAAAATATCAATGAATACACAACTTACACGGCTACTCATAAATCTGATGTAAAACTGCAAGCGATAAGTGAAAGGTTCTTTAAGTGCCTAATGCCATCATGAAAGTAACTTGAATTTGTAAACCTTAGTCTATTTCTGCAGAATACTAGTAGTTCTTTCTTTCTTTCTTTCTTTCTTTCTTTCTTTCTTCCTTCTTTTCTTCCTTTCTTCCTTCCTCTCTTTCTTTCTTTATCCATTTTGGATCACAACTACTGATTGTGCGGCAAAATTACTGGTATAGTTTGTTGCGCTCCAGGGGGCGGTTGCGGTGGTAGGTATTGCATGTGCTGTGGCGGTATTGGTATATGAGGTGGAATTATAGGACACATTATTGGATAGCTCGGAGCATGACCCTGAGGAGGTGGTGGAGGATATGTGGGTTGTGGAGTGCCAGGAGGATTGTAAGTGCCCGGCGTATGAGGTGGATTAGGATTAGCTGGAGAGGGGGTTTGACTTGGTGGCTGTTGAGCGACGTGTGGGTGGGGATGCGTATGCGGACCCATATACTGAATCCCAGGAGCCTGCGGTCCTGGTGAGTCATGATGATGATAAGGTGTAGCCATGTGTGGCGGTGGTGGTGGTGCCTGAACCATGCGTACCATCTGTTGATAAGCCGGTTGGCCAGGATAAGGTACCTGGAATGGTGGGTGTAGAGGAGCCGGTGCCATTAAAGGTTGCCCGGTAGCTGCAACTACTTGCATTTGAGAAGCTATATCCTGCGCGCGATGTTGCGCGTGCATCACCGGCACTGAAATCATCAGAATAAGATACAATAGTTACATTACTGATGTCAATAACAAACGAACGAACAAAAATCACGTATTTTCTATAATATCAACAACAAATGTGGATTAAGATAAATTAAAGAGGTGAAACAAGATGTGGATACCTAGATACTGACCCTTCCGGAACCTTGTCACAGGTTGAGCAGGTGGTTGACTGAATGCAGTTGGTGGTTGGCTAGTCATAACATACGCTGGCATAACTACAGTTGCAGGCATTGTAGCCCCAGTGTATTGTGGTGTTTGAGGAGTATGCGGTCTACTAGGTGTCGGTGTACTCGGGGAACGCTAAAAATGTTCATCTACATATTAGTAACTAACTTTTACTAAGCTGATTATCTTTTTAACGAGTAATGTTCATCGCATTAAATGATTCAGTGGCTTACCGGTGTGAAAGGTTTAGTATTTGGATTAAATTCTTTAGCGTTTGGGTTCAACGTTGATTTCTTAAAAGCCGTTGTAATTTTGTCAACAGCAGTTTCTTGCGGAGATTGTGATGCAACCGGTGTGTTTGTCGGAGTTTGTTGTTGCTGTTGTTGTTGCTGTTGCTGCTGTTGTTGTTGTTGTTGCTGCTGCTGCTGCTGCTGTTGCGATGATTGTACTGGACTCGTAGATCTCACAGGAAGCGGTCCTGGTGGCGGTTTACTAGTAACTATGGTTTCTTCCTGAACACTTTGATTTTGATGTTGCTGTTGCTGTTGTTGCGGTTGCTGTGGACTTGAGTGCTGTTGTTGTGGTTGTTGTTGCTGTTGCTGCTGCTGCTGTTGAGGTGGTGGTGGTTGCTGTTGTGACTGTTGCGGTGTTGTATGCTGATGAGATGTTTGATGATGCGTTTGTGTAATCTGCGACGAAGAATGGGAATCTTGTTGATGTTGATGTTGCTGCTGCTGCTGCTGCTGCTGCTGCTGTTTTCTTGTTACCGGCGGTGTATCTTGTGCTTGTGTATCCGCTAATTTGAAATCCGTGGCAAATTGCCGTAATTCCGAATGCTGTTCGTCTCTGCCACGTGGCGTTGGAACCTTGAACGATTACGAATCTCGTGAGGAAATATTGTAATAAAATGAGGTAAGGTTTCCGATCGTTAATTATTTCCATTGAAGATTCGGTTACCTTTCTGTGGTCGGATTTGTGTGAAACTATCTCGCATCGTTGTCCTTCAACTGAGTTTTGCTGTTGTAACTGAACATGCTGATGCGACGATTGTTGCTGCTGATGAGATGTAGTAACGTTTGCTTGCGGAAATGGTGCCGGTGGTGCTTTGTCTGCTTGATACACTTGCTGTCTGCCAGGACGTTCACGTTTCTCTGTATTCATCTTAGACGACGAAGTTTGCTGCGGCTGCGATGGGAAGCTTACTTGCGGTATAGGAGTAGCTTGGGATTGCTGTTGCGTTTGCTGCATCACAGGTACTGTAAATACCGTAACAAATGGTCACTGCATGCGTGTCGTATAACGAGTGATGTTGTTCGCTTATTAGTAAATCTGACTGTAAATGTTGCTTTGTAGTACCTGGAGGCGGTTGTTGCGTTGCTGGTGGAGGTACAAACGGTGGTGGAGGATTATTATATGTAACTACTACACCGCTAGGTGGCATTCCCATATTTAAAGATACTGGATGTTGTACAGAGGAATGAGTACTTTGCATTCCAATAGGAAGATTAGAAGCTGGAGGAATGTTCACGTTTACATTGGACGGAGGTTGTTGATTAAAAATATTTTTATTGGTTGTTGCAGGTCCAGGTGAAGGTGGAGGTTCGTTGGATCTCATCAATTTTCCGCTATTTCCGTTCTTCTTCTTTAACGGAGGCGGAATATATTTACCTTCATTGGGTCTTACCTAAAATTATACCGAATTAATCGAAAATGGTTAATCAATCCCATACTTTGTTAAACAACTATAACAATAATAATAAACTGCACCACAGCTGCAAATCTTTCCTCTTCATCGCCATTTTCTAATTCCAATCTTGCTTTATGATTTGGTTGCGACTCTATTTCATTTGCTATTTCCGCAGCTTTCTGTTCTTGTTCTTTATAATCTTTTGTATCTTTTCTTTGAAGCGGCAACGTGTAAGCAGCCAAAGTCGGCTCATACGTCGTTTGAACTCCATATTTTTGTTCATTCTTGCGAAACATATCGTTGGCGTCCCATCCGTTCTGAGGAAAATTGTATATACAAATTTGAATGTGCTTAGGTGCAGTTGGATAGAATTTTGTTGCCATTTTAAAATACTTACAGTGGTACCATCCAATTCTAAGTCATCGCCGTTCATAGTAACTGGAGGAGCATCCCACGGTTCCAACTCTTTTTCACCGATCACACCATTGTATTTACTAATAGCAGTGTCTGTTTGAAAAGTATCACGTATAGCATATTCTAGATCGACATCCTTGGCAGACATAGTAATAATATCTTGCGGTTTGAAAATCAATTTTTCTACTACACTTTCGACGCTTATTTTCCCTGAATCTTCTACTCGATGCGCCATTTCCAAGACAACATCAAATTGGCTGGAGAATGTGCGAAAAATACCTTCGTACACAGAACCATTCAGTGTTTGAATCTGTAGTAATAATTCGGTATATAACGATATATTCCAAAGTATAAATTCTAAGATAAAGGCATAAAAATTGTGGAATATTTGTGTTAAGTAACAGATACTTTAAGAATGCGACAATGGAAAAATCTATCCAACGCATCTATTCTGAAAGATATTATTGTACCTGTACAATGTTGCCCACATGACTAGTAATCGCGTGCATGAAATGAGCATTATTATATACACCCTCTGCAGCGACACATCTCTCTTGCGGACCACGAGCACGTGGAGACCTAAAACGATATAAGCATAAATATATCGAAGTTGGGGAGCGATGGGAAAATAAGGGAACATAAGGGGATACAAAGTGATAAGAGGAAAGAAAGAAAGCGGTAGAAGTACCTATTAGTATTGGAACGGTTCTTTCTTTTGCTATTCATTTTGCCACCAGACGAGGACTCTTCGCCACTGGTTGGTGGATTTCTGCCGCCGATTTGTTGCGGGCCTTCTCGTTTCCTAGTGGGGACCGGAATTTTGACTAATTTCCCGGTGACTGCTCAACGTCAAAAAAATATTTTCGATCGAATGTCCCGCTACGGGAGGATATTGCTTGCGCTTGTTTTATAGTTTCCTCGTTAAATACGGGAAGCTACAATTCGAAGTCTTATTCGACCCCAGAACGATTGACAGGAGGCCGTACTGGCCGTAACAACTATCAACATTCACGATCGGTTTTCGAATCACGATCGTTTGTAGGTTATGCGCGAATGGTACGACCACCTAAACACTCGTTTACGAAAGTGTAGCGCGTGCGTGACTTTCGAGTTCAGACAGACAGACACGAGAATGCGAGCAAAGAAAGCAGGAACACTTGGCATTCGAGGAGACGTACGGGGGAACACGGTGTCTACCCGACACGACACGACACGACACCACACGATATCTTGCTAGTGCGTGACGTAACTCCGTTCTTCTTACGTAGGAAATCACCTTTCTGGAATTTCGCGTTTACGGAGTTTAGAAATGAACGCCGCTAGCCTCGAACAATGATTTTGGCAACGATACAGTATTTTTATTTAATTAATCAACATGTGGTAAACGATAAAACTTAGCACAAGTCGCCCGATCAACCTGATCCCGGTGACTGTCGGATACAGTCGCCACCTAGCGAGAAATTAGTAGACATTGCGATAAAGATCATCCGCAATTCTCTGCCGGGACACTTATTTTCATCGCGCGTCGTGTCGCGTGGCGTCGCGCCGCGCCGCGTCGTTGCGTTCCCATCGCTACCATCCTTGTCGCTGCATACATTGCTCTTTACTTGGCTTGTGAAAATGAATCTTTAGTTCGCTGACAAGTCGCTCTTTTCGATCGACCACTCGCCTTCCTTCTTGCCTCCGTTTTCATCCTACGCATGCACGCACGCACGCACGCACGCACGCACGCACGCACGCACACTATTTTTCATTCCATCGATGCGCATCATTATCATTTTCGCGCTTTGACTTTTTAAACCGTCTCTCTGTAACATCGTTCACATTGCGTCCCATCATTATAAAATTCAGCCTCGAGGAATCTTTTTAAAATTCTATCAAAAACATTTAGTTTCGCGGTATTGCATTTGTATCGCTTGAAATGATCGATAAGCTAGGAAATGTTACGTATCTGCTACACATGTAAATGGAACTTGTGTTCTTCCGTACAGTACGAGCGATCGTACAACTACTTATCAGTTGGTCTGTACGTAGTTTTAAATCGGTGAAGAATCTGGATACGGCTCGGATCCTCTCCGCTTGCGTTTATGGTCCTCGTGATACATAGTATGCAATTTTTGAAGAATATTTCTCGTTCTGTCCGAAATGAAGTCGTCCACGCGACCCAACACGTTTACACATCGAACCATTATATCGAAACCTCTATTTATTCTGTCCGCTCTATCGACGCGAGCAATCGATTTATCGGACACGGCGTTCGACAGCGTTCCCAAGATTCTTTCCTTTCCGTAGACTCCCTCGACATTTCCCGTCATCTGGCAAAAGTTTTCGTAAACTTGGTTATTCGAATAACACGAATACTAAAGGAAAAAATACGAGGAGACAGGAATCTCGGGGAACTTACCATCAAGATCGCGAATAACGGCAACAACGACGGCAACGGTACGCTCATTTGACAAAAGTGCGCGTGAATCCTCGATCGATTCGATATTTCCGTTGCGAATGTCTTTTCCAGAGCGTTTCGCAAACGCTGCTCGAAATTGAAGCAGCGGTACCGATCAACTGTTCGATGTCGAGGATGTTGCCGCGAATCAATTCGCCTTATTCGCCTTTCCCGTGCGACGCATGTAGGTACTTACTCGTCCTTATATATGTATATAATACGTGTACCTGTATTCCTCCGACTGAAATGTTTCTTTTACGGAGCGGTATTTGCTGACACATCTGCGAAACATTTCAATCGAAGTCGAATAACATTCGAAAATATTGGGCAAGACCATCGGAGAAATGTCGAAATTATTGTTGAGTAATTCGCAACACACGCAATAGTAGGGATTAACGAACGATTTGCGTGGATTCCCTGTAAAATGTATTTCACTTACATACATGTACCTAGCACGCGTAGCGTACAGACACCGAGATATAAATATAATAGGTAATCCACCGATAAAGCGTACACGATGAAACTATAGATGTATAATTAGAAGCGGTTCCTAAAGCGCTCTCGGAGAATACTCGCGTCGATCGCTTCGAAGTTGCTATTCTGTCTCTATTTTTTAGGAGGGAGGAGAGGAGGGAGAAAATTCTATTTGCATCGGCGGTGCGTATTCGTTCTCAGAGCGAGATATCGACGCGAATTTAGCTTTTCTGGGCAGCAGCTTGCTGGAGTTGAGTGTTCAAGTTCTGCGTCGCCTGTACGGCAATGTCGACCGCCTGTTTCGTGAATTTAGCGAGGTCCTCCTGAATCTTCTCCGAATGCGTGCTCAGGGATTTCGCTGCCTTGTCGGATTCCTTGAGCATCACTTGGACACCTTGCTGGAATTTCGCCTCCAACTCGGCGACCTGTTGCTGTGCCCCGGGGATTTGACCGCTGATGTCGTTCACGACTTTGGTCAACTTTCCTTTCACGTCGTTCCACATCGTTTCCAATTCGGGAGTTTTCGTCTTCACCTAAAACCGATGGACAAATCGATCATTTTCTTTTAGCGTTCAGACTCGAAAGATTTAGTAATCTTTTCATGCGGAAGCTCTCCAAGGAACTCGAAAGTACCGAGGCGACCGCTACTCGGTACATGGTACGTTATAAACGACGAAACAACAGGGAAAGGAAAAGTGTTACCTCTTCGGTGACGTTCTGTATATAGGTTTGAACGTTGGTCACAAAGTCGGTGGTTTGTTCCTTGACGGTTTTCACGAGGGTCTCTTGGTCGGGCAGGTTCAGCTTCTCTTGGATCTGTTTGGCCATATCGTTGATGTTGGTTTGAGCTTGGGTGATCAGTTGGTTCAGCTGAACCGCGGTGGAATCGGTGGCAACAGGGGTGTCGGCAGCCGGCGCAACTTTTGCATCGGCCAGCACCACCACAGCTAACGCGATCGCGAGGATAGTCTTCATTTCTTCGGTCCCGTAGATTCTCGCTACAACTAGAAACTGACACCGGCCGACTGACGATTGCGCCGATTGCGCCGACTACCACTTTTATAGACAATCCTTATCGAGGGTGCACGAGGGCACAGCGTCCGTTATCTCGCTTCGACGATGACCAATCACGATACACGTGTATACGATTCGCATCTCTCTCTCTCTCTCTCTCTCTCGACTCTGGAAAAAGTTACTGACCATTCCACCGTTTGAATTTTCACCAGTTGCCGAACCTTCTTAAACCAGAGGTCCACCTGAGATCTGGTAAAGATATACGATTCGATGGATTGCTAGAAAATTCGGTTACCGCTGTGCTAACCGTGCGATGCCGGTTAAGGAGGCAGAGAGTTTCGCTTACAGTGGCATTTATATTATTCGCGAGGCATAGACGAGAGGCTAAGAAATAATGTGCACACGTATAAGAGACGTATTGTTACTCTCGTTCGAAATAATCAAGCGCAACGTCTTCGAATACTCGATCTCGGATTGATATCCGAAAGTCAAAGGTGAAGGCAAGATCAGCGTTATCTGTAATTTCGGACTATCGTCTTTTCTCGAAATCAATCGCGAATCAATCACGGAGAGAATATTTTCAAATGATTTCTTTCGTATCGCCGGATCGTTGCTTGCGCAAATAGATGATTCGTTGGCGATTCGTTCGGCAAATACCGATTCCCCTTGAGCCGCGTCGAGAGGTCAAGGTCCTGTGGAAAAATCTATGACTATGCACAAGTCGATTAAGTTCGGTAACGTGACGCGCATGTATTTGCTTGGGACATGCTCTTCGATATCTGCGACCGTATCTATACGAATACACCGTTCCACGACATTTAACGATCATTTGACTGTAATTAAAACAACGCGACATTTTAACGACGATCTTTCTTCGATTTCTACTTCCGCCTACGAATCGTCATCCGACGTCGAACGTCGTATACGCGTGTGTATGTACGGTACACACCGTACAACTTGTTAGAATATAGAGAGCAGACTCTAATTTTCGTATTTTATTTTCAGAATCGGTTAACCTTACGAGTACATTGCATAACTATGGTCATCGATAAATCGCGCGTCGAGCAATTCGCATTTCGATAGAGTAAAATATCATTTTTTTATCTCGGCATCCGTGTCAAAGTTGACGCCGCTTGCAATAAAATAATGCGCGCATCGTTAATGGTAGAAACAACATATTTGAAATGCGAGAAGAGTGACGTAACGTTATTCAAACACTATTTGCAAAGAGCAAAAGGAAATTCGTCGTAATCGTCGTCGAATTGTTAGACTCGCGTGTAACTGCATTCGCAAAGTTACCGTGTGCCAATTCCATGGGTACGTACACCGCTCGTATAAGTTTGCTCAACTTGGATCGTCTTTTATTGCCTATGCTTATACGTGTAGAAAATATTATTACATTACAGTGCATTACATTACATTACATTACATTACATTACATTACATTATACTACGTTACATTATATTACATTAAATTACATTGCATTACATTCGATTAGGTTACATTAGATTACATTACATACACACGTAGGTATACATATACATATGCATATACCCAACGATGAATTTAGTCGTGAAGTTTGTCTCCGATCTTCTCCGCTTCCTTACGGATCTGTTCGCCAGCTTGATTCAAAAAAGATTTCGCTTTCTCGATCGTGTCGTTCAGGTTCGTTTCGTTCATCCATTGGCCCACTTTTTCCTGGAGAGTATCCGAAGCGGAGCTCCAAGCTTTCTTCACTTGATCCGCGATATTGTCTAAACCGGACGTAGGGGATTGCGGGGTATCTTCCGGCACAGGATTCGCCTAGGCGACAATACGATTAATCAAGATCAGTCGATAGTTTTCATCTGTTCTTACTTGGTTCGATTCTTTCGCGATTACGCATGCGTTTCGATGAGAAAACCGAAAGGTCCGAAGATACAAAATCGCCCAAATACCTGGAAGATGTAGAAGAGACAGGCCGCGAGGACGAAAGTGAACCAAAATCGAGCCATCTTGTACACGTTCCTTGTTTCGGAAGCGATCTTCTACGTGGTTCTGTACTACACGGTAGTGTGGTAGTTTTCGTTAGAGAGGCAGCGGCAAACTGCTTTACTACAAGCGGCGTGCCAAGCGAGCGCTGTCACGATAAAACGAATTAAGATCAAAGATCACTCGGTAATAATCAACGATTCGAGCCCCTGTGCTTCGGAGAGACTCTCTGACTCTTCTTCTCCTCGTCCATCCACGACAATGCACCTCGATCCTTTTCCACCACCGTGTTTCTCTTTTGCGTCGCAAACTGAAATGAATTGCTTACCGATGAAACATCGGCTTTTATCTTACCTAATTATTCCACCGCGTCATGAATTGCATTTTTTTCTATAGATTCTCGCCGGAAATTGTGTAATCCTCGTCTCCGCGCTTCCTCTGCTCTTTCAATGTCTACAAAGTACCGCGACACGATCGGACGGAGCATCTCGGAGAGAGAGAGAGATAGAGATAGATAGATAGATAGATAGAGAGAGAGAGAGAGAGAGAGAGAGAGAGAGAGAGATATCTTGAAAAAAATGCCATCTTCCGCATCAATGATCACCGAGCAACCGGAAAAACACGACTACCTTTTCGAACGATCGAAACTAGTTTCGATTTTACTTGGAACAACTGTTTCTGCTTCTGGACGTTTTATCTTCGTTTTCTCGTTTTCCTTTTGCATTCGAAGAATCGATGTTACTATGGATGATTTTACAGAGCTCGAAAATCGTCGACAAAATTTCAACGTTAAAACCAGCGAAAGGTTGAGGTCGCGTAGATCAGTGGTGAATGTGAAAGGTAAAAAGTTTGTTTTCTGAATTTCAGTTTATTATAGAGTTTGGTACAATAAATAAAACCGCGTAGAAAGCAAAGACGGTCGGCGTAGAACGGTAATGCGATCCTGCGGTGAGATGCGCGTAAACGGTTGGATCCCTTATCGCGAAGGTAAGGCGTTCGACGTATCGTAATGAGCAGTATTTTCAAATAAACTTACCAATGGCAGATCGTCTGGTTTGCAAGAATTTGGAATATTGCGAAATAAGTTCGATGGTGGCGCGTGCTCGCGAAATTTGATGTAGACCTCGGAAATTGGTGGCCAGTTTGGCTGAAAAGGGACGGTTTCCATTGAGAACGGAATAACGTAATAATTGGAATGTTCATTCGAGTTTTTACAAAGCGACGCGTCTCTCGCCTCTTCGACAGGAATCGCTGGATGCCCGGATACATTGTCGGAGGATCGAACGAGAGAAATTAGAGGAGGTTGCGGCGCGTTAATCGAAGAATCGCTCCGCGACGGACCCGTCGACGAATGAATCGATGATGCGGAATATGGAATAACGATGTTTTCGAAACGCGGCAAGGCTGTTGTTTCCATTGTGGAAGAAGGGGAATCCGTTTGAAAGGTTGTGTCCGGTAAGTGGTCCGGTCTAGTCACCGATAGAGACGGGAAACTCTCGTAGACTTGTTCGCTCGACGTAGGATACGATAGAGTTGCATCGTTCGGCAAAGCTGTAGCAGTCTCTAGCGAACTGGGAAATGTAAAAGATGAAGGAAAAGGTGAGGGAGAGGGTTGCGAATCGGACATTTCAGGCGCTGAAATTTCAGACGCCGATAAAGACGGACTGTTGTCATTATGTGGATGCGTATTCGCAACGAAGCCTGGAGGAAGATTCTCGATAGAACCGCCGGAAGGCGTCGTACTCGTAGAGGAAGGTAAGGAGTCGGCAGCGAACGCGTGCGAAATGGTTCCCGATACGGTATCAGGGGAATCGATGGAATAGTCGGATAGAATGGAGGCGATACCGATTGGTAAGCCGCGCGGTGAGACAGTCGACGAAGACCGGTCGTCCGTTTCGAGAGACGTTTGTCCAATTTTTAACGGAAGATTCGTCTCCGTTTCCGACTCCGTACTCGCATTCGCATTCGCATTCGCATTCGCATTCGCATCCGCAGCCATCAAACTGTTTCTCGACGGAGATGAGAAGCAAAGATCTGGAGCCAAGAAAGCTGAAACGAAATTTCGCGTTGGTACAATTACGTGCTGCAGGAAGCCGGATGCGTGATAGCCGCTATACGAATCGCGCAGAATACCGGCGAGTTCCTTTAGAACGACCAAATACGGATAAAACCGTTCTCGAGCGAAAACTCGAGCAAATACCGATTCTACGAACGCCACTGCGTTTCCTTCGAATCGATTCAATAAATATTCACCGATGGAATGCAACGCCTCTTTCTCGACGGCTAGAATTTTTTCCCTCAGTGCGACGAGAAAGTCTATGTCGCCGCTCATCGTTGGACCAAGACGAAGACGGTGTTCGAGCTCTCCGAGAAATCTTGCGACGTGAACGAGGAAATTGTTAACAGCGATATTCAATCGTCCCCAGGTTTCTCGAATGTGGACCGAAGGGACGCACCTTCCGACTATAGCGGACAAATACTCGAGATTTTCAGGGCTCTGAGAAAATCGGTTGAATCGTATCAAGCCGCGTATTATCTCTCGGTGGAGACTTTCGTCGAAGAGAAGCCGCCTCAACGAAATCACGCGTCCTCCTTGTCTTTCCAGATCGAACAGTAGTTCCAAACCAAGTTCAGATTTTACGTTTTCACCAGCGATCCACACGTAGCGCAACAGCTTGGTGATTTCGCAGAATATTTCGTGCATTATAAGACCGGTGACGCGATCGTGAGCAAACTCTGAAGCTTCCAGCTCGCAAGAAGAACTCTGCAGGTGTTCCCATGTCGATGAACACGAATCCGGTTCCGCGTACCTGGAATCCGTTTCGGGAAGCTCGTCCGTCGGTCCGTCGGAACCGAACACATCACGCTTCGGCAATACGCTCGGCTCGTTTTCGGTTATATTCTAAAAAGATTTCGGTTTCTTCGATAAGAGAATTACGAACAACGCTGACAATTACGAACCATTCCACGGAATGTAATCAAAGATCAGTTTCGTCACCTGTTCACTGTTCGTCGACGTTGCTCCTGGGAACAATGGACTGTGATCGTTGGTCGTTAGATTCGTACCCCTTTCGAGAATTGTCCAGCTCTCTTCGATATCGGGTAACACCTAAAGCGATTAACACCTGTATTCGATGGAATACACGCAGACTAGTAAATGAAGAGTAGTTGCCGATCGTTTTACCGTCGCTTCATCTTCGTTTCCTCGAATATCCTCGTCGGACGCGACTTTGTCTCGCGAAAACAGATTTCTTCCCACGGATGATAATTTCAGAGGTTCCAGATAATCGAACGAATCTTCTTGACGCAGTCCGAATAGAAAGTCTTCGGCGAAGATCAACCTAGCGAAAAATATCACCGGCAAGGACGAACGAATAAACGAATTTCCGTTCCTCATAGTTCCCGTCGGAGGTAAACACTCCGTTGATTTCGGTCGAAACGAGCTCGTATACCTTTATATATACTTGCGCGATTCATATCTCGTCGCAGAGAACAGCACGTAGATCGTGAGCGTCTTTGACAACAAAGAAGATTGCTGAATTACAGAGAGATCAAATTGGACGCGATATCATCGATCGAAAGAAAAGTTTGCTTTTCCCTCTATCGTATCCGTTTTATTTATCTTGGCCGAAGGATATCGCGGTCGCTACTTCAACTTTGCTCGAAGCGGTAGAAAAACCTTCGAGAGTACAATACAATATAATATAATATAATATAATATAATATAATATAATATAATACAATAGTTTTTTAGAATGTATACAAGTAGTTTAACATCGAGACGACGATGAAAGTTCGCAAGCAGGAACGAGCACTCTGTCGACTCGTGTTGCCAATCCTGTCAGCCGTTTAACGAATCTTTCTGTGGGTTTTTCAGGCACGACTCTAAAAGAAGAAGGATAAATGGAAACAGGACGAAATATTCCATCGTGGAATGCAAACGGACGAACGATCGTATACGTGTAACTTACTTTTCAATGGAGACTGGAAGATTAACGGCGAAATTATAGTTTCTCGGCAGAGGTATCGCATGATTCGCAGGAGGAACGTAAGTATCGTACGCGTAGCTCTTTCCTCGTAAAGCGTCTTCCTCCACGATGGTTCGTTCCATTGGCGATAGCTTAGGAACCGGTACGTCTATCGCGATCGGATATTCGAGGCGACGAGGCTTTGCGGACATATCCGTAGCAACTTTAAAATTTAACGATAACGGTATCTTCTGAGTTTCTACGGGTGGCTTCGGTCCCTGAAATTATTCCATTTAGTTCCCATTCAATTCGCGGTTGCTTTCTTTTCCCTATCCGTCCAGAGATAGACCCCCAACGGTCGATAAACATGAACTTTTACCTCGACCGTGATCGGCAGTTGACGCCCAGGGGCACACGGTTCGCCGTACGTCACTATTTCAGGCCTATCGTAGCTCAGGCCGTAGCAACCTTCCAAATTCGAAACTGAGGCAATTCCGATAAAGAACAAGACGAATGTTTTCGAACGCATGATCGTATCTTCGAAGAATCAAGATTACAATTAAACTGCGGACGGCGATTCTGCGCTCTTAATATATGTACGAACATGTCGTACGAAAAGTTTCGATCCTTCTTCCTGTTTACCGCTCGATTCGCCATTTAGACGGTGTTTGTTTCGCAATTATTCTCGAGTATACGTAAACACGCGCGAACGCGCGAACGTGCGAGTCGCGCGGCTTTTCCATCTAGAAATTTTGCAGATCCTGGAACGTGCTCGCGGACAAAATTCAGCGTGCAAATATCGTCCACGGAAGTTAACGAGGTTCAGGCGTGTTTACGAGAAAGGATATGAAACGCACGTAGCGGACGCTACGAGAGTCAAACACGCAAACTAATTTACCTCTTACGCGTTGCGTAATACGTTTCACGCGAAAAGTCGTAAGCAATTTTACTATTTCGACTATGTCTCTCGTAAACCTATTCGCTACAGCAACTTCGTTTCGTTTCGTTTCGTTTCATTTCATACATGGGCGCCAATATAAATGAATATTCTCTTGAAACTTGAAACCGAGCGTTCTTCGTAAAACCGAAACGTCGATAAAACTTAGAAGGCATGTCATTCGTTTTAGAAACAAATCTTCCTGAATTTCCTTCCCTTGTTTTCGATAGAAAGTTTTCGTCGCGAGTTTTCGGTACGTTTCATTTCGATGCGACGGAAACGTCTAGATAAATATAAAAAGGGAGTAATATCCGTACACGTCTATACAGATCGACATATTCTTCAGCTTCGAAAGTGTACGCGTGTTCGCATTATTCGATCAGAAATGAAAACTATAATGTTGATCAATCGCATAATTGTACCCGAAGAAATTTCGCCCGAACGCTTCTCTCGCCGAATACAATAAAGACGTACGAACACGAGTAGTAGTAGCGTCTGCTTTAGTATCCGATTCTCACCATTACTAAACTAGCCTGTCATGTGGTGCTTATACTAGAAATTACCTTTCCTTGGTCGAAAGTGCGTTTTACGAGGCGTTGACACGATCGCTTAAACCACCAAAGGCTCAACTGAAGGAGCATCGTAAATCTTGACGCGTAGCAGAGGCATAACAAATGCTAGCGAACGCTACGCGTAGCCCTATCTCCTTTACACTTTTCTACATTACAAGTCCTAGTTGCTAATTCTATCTTAAGCTACGCTAAAACAACATTTTCTTCGTTCGTTGTAGCTTACGTTGTATAAGCGTATGAAAGTCGAAAAAGTCTATATATCTATGCGTGTATGTATATACGTATTAAAACTAAAGGTTCTTATTGCTAGAAAAAGTAAGAGAGGAGAATTTTGTGAGTTCAAAGTAATTTATTTTTCATAGGTCTATAGAAGGTAAAACGGTCTGTTCGATGTTACATTAATCAATCAATTGGAGCATGATCTGAATCTTGAGGGAATCGTGCGCTGCACATCCATACTATCGGTAATTGTCCCAATAGCAGCATTCGCGATGCTGTCAGCTCTTGCAATGTTCTGCTGAACGATCACCGAGCCTGGAATATAATCCGGTTTCGGCGGACCCAAGGGACCGCACGGTTCTTCCATGCTGTCGTTAATTTCCCCATTACTAATTCCGCTGTAGCTCTTTGCGAAAGTTGCACCCACCGGCGCGTATCCTAAATCCCTGTGAACGGTTAGTACAACGATTAACGTAAAGTAAACGAATTCGCGACCTTTCCCACGGAGAAACGTCGCTGTAGCAGCATCGAGACGCTTACCTGTAAGTGACCAAACCTTCCGCAACTTGATCCACGGACTCTTCTTGCGTTATACTTTCGCGTTCGATCGCTTCGAGTTCCGCAAGCTTTGCTTCTTCCCGTTCGTCGTAAGAACCAATGACAACGGTTCTCGGAGGTGCCAGTTTCAATTCTACGACAGGCTTCTCGACGGTAACCAGCCTCTCTTCCGGAATATCAACGATCTTCTTCACATTGTTCGCATCGTTTGGAACCGTACGATGCCCGAACGACAATTTATCTTCCGGTACAAATTGTTTTCCTTGTCTGTAGATTACGTTTGGAGCTCGAAGATTTTTGTACGCGAGGGTGAGAGATACCGCATCGGCTGGCACTTCTGGATACGAGTAATCTGCTTGTCTCTCATCTGAAAGCCACACCGTGTCTCGTTATTCTATTAAAATTCCACTATCGAAAACGGTATAAAATATTTCAATTCCTGGATGACGTACCCGTGTCATCGTCGAAACAACTGGAAGGACTGCTACTCATGGTTATCCTCCCATATTGCTTTTCTCCGTTCGCAGCGCTTAAGCCAGAGTATGCAAAAGGAGATGCCCTATACCCGGAACTCGATCCACCGAAAGATCCAGAGTTTGAACTGATATATTTTCCGAATTGCGATCCGCTAAACGCAGCAGAATTTCCGTTTCCAAACGATCCGGAGCTGGTTCCACCGAATGCTCCGGACGTTGATCCGCTAAACGCAGCAGAATTTCCATTTCCAAATGATCCGGAGCCAATTTGACTGTACGCTCCCGATGTTGATCCGCTAAACATAGCAGAATTTCCGTTTCCAAATGATCCGGATGATGATCCGGATGATGATCCGCTAAACGCAGCAGAATTTCCATTTCCAAATGATCCGGAGCCAATTTGACTGTACGCTCCGGAAGTTGATCCGCTAAACGCAGCAGTATTTCCGTTTCCAAATGATCCGATTCCGCTACCGGAGAATGCTCCGGAAGTTGATCCAGCAAGTATGCCAACGTTTGGTAGTCCGTATGCTGCAGAACTAGGCCCACTGGTTGCACCGGGTGAAATCGATGTGATCGCTCTAGTGGTGGTTTCTCCATTGAGCATGTTTACGCAAATTTCATAAGGCTCCGAAGGATTGGGTTTATTGCATACAATTTTTCCAGGATAAGCCGGAGTTACTCTAGTCTTTTCGATTAATTTTCCACTGCGAGAATCAATTGGCAGTGGATAGCATAAATCGCCGATCGGTGAGAAGCTATGCATAGGAACAGAGAATAAATGTAATGTTTAATCTATCGTTAAGGAAACAATATGAAATCGATGAAATACCTGGGCACAATATTGACATCTGAATTTGACTTGGCCGAATCGTCGAGTTCTAAAGATTTTGAAATTTGCTTGCTACAGCCACAACCGGAACCAGTTGCACCGGTATTGTCGGGGGAAGCAACGGTTGTGTAAGTGACAGACGTTGCAGGGGAAATAGATGGTTCGTTGCTGGTGTAAGCAATCGGATTATTGTTAGTAACCGTGTTAGAGTCGCTGCTGCTATGACCAACGACACCGCCATTGTTATATGCGTCTGAACTAGCGTCGCTATTACTGTTGCGCGCGTTCGAATCACTGTTGATTTGTACGTTGGAACCAGCATCGTTGCACGCAACGGTATCGGTATTACTGTTGATGTAAGCATTAGAGTTAGCGTTGTTATATATAATGGGATTAGACTTGCTGATGCTTTGCAAATTGGAGACGCCGATTTGAGGTACACCAGTCGATACGACTATATTGTTCCGTGCTACTGTAGCTTCGTTAATCTTTTCCGGTGAAACGTAATACGTTGGTTTTGGCAATTGTGCAGCTTTTACAACGGTCTGGCTGCAAGTGCAAGGATTTGTACCTACAACGAGATCAATTTAACAAACATTCTTCGATCGAAGTTACATAATTCACAATGAAATTCGCCATGTACCTGATCCTAGATTTCCACACGAGCATCCTTGCTGTTGTCCGCGAACGATCAACAAGCAGACCACCGTCAGAAGGAACACACTGTACGCGGCTGAGGACTTCATACTGTCAAAAATCTTTCTTTTCTGCTGTAATCATCGTTCCGATTACCTTATATACTCGAATATGTTGCCAATTCAAAACTGAATTGCGCAATTTCTCATTGTCAATCGTACTTCCTGTTACTCTTGTTTACAGCCACTTTTGAAACTTCCTGCACTCGAACCTTAAAGTGGTGAAATCGAACGACTGCTTTGCATTGCGGTGTTTGTTTAAATATTGATACAAACATAATTCAACGTATACGCTTTCGACGTGTCTGTCAAACTTTTCTCACGATATAATATATCGTACCGCAAACAAGACGTTGCTCGTGACAATTCGCTACTTCCGCCTTCTTCCACATTGTCGTTGACTCGTACAGAGAGAGACTAACTAAATGTTACTCTTGCAAAAATATCATTTCACACTTCATAACGATTATTCTACTTATTCACGAATAACAGCATACTTGGCGTTGCATCGAGTCGTTTTTCTTTAATAAATATTTTATTATAAAATACTATTTTACAATATAAAGTTTCGATACTTGGAAAGTAAGTTCGTACCTTTCATACGCTATTTCGAAATGCAATAACATATTTACATTAGCTTATAACACCTAGTATTATAGTAAATGATAGTGTAACACGCGAGTTGTGTGGTTTATTTGTTGAAAAAATCCGCTGCTCTTTGTCTCTGAAGAGGCAAATTAAGAAGGTTGTCGGTGAGAACAGGTCCTTGCGAGCGAGTGCTACTGTTTTCGATTCTAAGGTGATTTTCGGATTTCGATGGTGTATGTATTCTTGGAGTGCCCGGTGTTCTAATGCCGATCGACGGTGTTCTGGATAAAGTGGCTCTTCGGGGACTCGGTGTACTCGCGATACGTAGCTTCTGTGTAGCTAATCTTCTAGCAGCCGGGGACATGGTACTCAAGCGATCTATAGTTGATCTTGGCGAAGGTCTGTAAAGGAACAATTGCAACAATTTAGAGCAAACGATATCGAAGGATCTCTATGTACCGTACGATAGAAAGTAAACTTACGTCGCTAGCGATCTTCTAGCTGCTTCCAAAGCTTTAGTCTTTCTATCTCTGTGTCTTTCTCCAGCCTTTTCCGCTAATTGTAACGCTAATTGTTCCCTCTTCGGTGGTTCTGCCATTCTAAACGATGGCCCGTGACTTGTTCTCAATAAAGGAGTGTCTCCGCCGTCTAATCTAAACGGCGTACCTTCGATCTGACCCCAAGTCATCAAAGGACTCTCGCATTCGCCGGGCCTTGGACTCGGAGTTGCTACAAAACTAAATCCGTTCACCCTAGGAGTCGGGTTTCTAACGATTTCTTTACCGTCAACTCCTATTTTTCCATCGTTAGCCTTCGATTGATTCTTTGCCAGTTCGCTGATAGTTTCTTTATTTTGTTGTTCGTTGAACGGATTTATTCGAAGCCTCGTATTTTCATGCATTACCAGTTGCTTCTTCTTGGCTAAGTCGATCCTTTCGTCCGGTGTTAATTCAACTCCATCGGGAACATACATAATATAATTTTTGTTTCTGTAATTCCAACTGTCCAACTGACTGGGTTTCTTATCTCTACTCTCTATAGCTAAAACACCATTATTAGATTCGTCGTTTGTCAAGGCTTCCAGTTTCTCCTCTGCTTCGTAGAGCCAAGCAAATTTAAGTTTAAGTCTTCTTTCCGCTTCGACCATCATCTCTTCGAAGCTCGCGTTATCCTCGCTGGTATGCGTACTCAAATAGGCATCTAATCCGCTCTTACATTCGTCTCTAGCTTTGTCCTTGGTATTTTCATTAATGGTAGTATCTCTAGATGTTTTCAAAGTTTTTAATGGTTCATCTTCGGATTCTGTTTTATTCATGGGAGTCTCGAACGTAGCAGGGCTAGCAGGTCTCTCGGTTATTGGACGTCCCGAACTATATTTCTCGTACAGTTCTCTCATTCTTTTCGCGTCGTTTTGCTCCAACGCGTCCAAGTACTGATTTTGCGCTTGAAGTTTATCAAGATGAGGAAAAAAGTCTCTCTGGATAATTTCCCCCATCTTCCTTACATATGTATCCTCGTCCAAAATTTTTGGTTGTATTTTTTTGTATCGTTTCGCAACCCCGCGTGGTTTCTTAAATATTGCCATATCTTTCATATTTTTAGCTGTCTCTAACGCTCGAGATCCTGGAGAATTCATTGTCGAACCTATAGAAACCATAGCTTGTAACGCTTACGAGAAGACAGGAAAAACATATGTTTAGGTAATCACATTCCCTTGGAATACAGAAATACTCGTATAGATGTTTAAAGATTAACAAACTGTAGAAATTAAGTCTTTAGATTACGTTTTACGAGAAAAGAGGTTAACCACTGAAAATGTTTTTTAATTGTAGCTTCTTCTTTACCTTGATATTATATTTTTATGTTAAATTAGATTTTATAATCGACGAACTATTATTATTTCCAGATTTGTCGTAATTAGACGCCGCAGTCGTGAACACAAATTACAGTAAACGGAAACTCTGCTCCTAGACAAACATTGCACATAACCAACAAAAGGTAAACCTTACTAGAGCTGTCACTGTTGGTGCCAAGTGGCGTCATTATGCGTCGACAACAAGAACTTATCCTTAACGAAAAACTGATTGATTCTAATGGATGTCGCTCGATCGTTTTTCATACTTATCGTTATATCGAAATGTAATATGCTTTATTAACTTGCGAGCTAATTCGCGAGTTGATTCGAAGAAGTTGGCAACAATTTTTTTCAAGGATTTTAAACAATTTTAATTTCACTGAACTTTTTACCAAACCAAGCAATGAATAAATATCGCTTTACAATGATTGAAAAATGATCGATTAATCGTACAAAGTACAAATTGTATAACTAATGAAAATGTTCCGTAAATCTTGAATAATTTATATTGCTTTAAACACAAATGTAGGTATAATAATAATTATAGAGAGCACAGAAAAAGTGTTAACGATATATAATTATTACAGCTAAAATGTGATTCAGATAAAGCATATGACATATAAGAATGAAAGAAGAGGAGAAATGTAAAAAGGAAGAAAGAAAAAATGATAGAAATCAAGGCT